TTTTAAGCTTATGAAAAGTGGGTTGCATGCTCTACTTTTTCAGCAACTGGCTTAAATAATGTTTCTTTCAGGAAGCCCGAGAGGGCTCTTACACGCAATTACTGAATGTTTAGCAGTAGTAAAACATGAAGGAGGTCTCCTCAAAGTCACTCCGCTGTCTGCCCAACATAATGTTAATATCTGCAGGACAGCCCTATTAGTTTGAACTTCTGGTGTGGCTTCTGGTAAACATTTGAAAAAGTTCTGATCTTATAGAAACTGATAGACTAAGTGTCTTTACAGCTGTCTGCAGTGAATACTACAAAATAAACAGAACTGCTGTGTTTCTTATTCCTGCCTTCATTTCTTACCAAGCTTTCAAATGTGCCTATGCTTAAAATTTCGTTCCAGGTGCTCTCATGCATGAATTGTCAAATGATGGTGCTCGCAAACAATTTGAGTTTTATCTAGAAGAAATGATTCTCCCATTAATGGTAGCCAGTGCCCAAAGTGGTGAGAGGGAGTGCCACATCGTTGTGCTGACAGATGATGATGTGGTTGACTGGGATGAAGAGTATCCTCCGCAAATGGGAGAGGAGTATTCACAAAGTAAGTTTATTTTCATTGTTTCCACCAAGCCATGCTATGGTAGAGGTAGCAGTAAATGTGCTGATTTAACTTACCTGTACATAAGCATTGTTAGCAAAGTCTTTACAACATCCCTAATGCCTCACAAAAACTTAGTTTTGGTAGTTCTGCTTAATATTTTGCTTCACAGACGCGTATGTTGCATGTTATGTTCAAATCTAATGAAAAAGAGAAGCTAATTTTTATTATTAAGGTATTGTCAGTCAATGAGGGGGAAGGAAATACTTTTTCAGAAAGAGCTTGATGAGAAAAATGGATAGGAGTTATGTTTACTCTGGGAGAACAACTAGAGGGTTTTTTTTTGGGGAAAAAAAAGTGTCTTACTATTTTGGAAGTAAAACAGTTTGGTGTATAGATGAGTTAAAAGCACCTGTGAACGGGCTGCCTTTCCCTGCATCAATGCTGTCCCTGTAGCTGAAAATGTTCCTTCAGTGTGAAAACTTGAAATTCAGGGTTTTGTGGGGGCATGTAGGAGCTTGAGATACTCTGTACTCCAGTAGTATAAAATCTTCTTAGAAGTCTCTTCAAAGTATTACAGTTTTTTGTTGTTTTGTTTTTCTTTAAATAAAAAAACCAAAACAAAAATCACATTTTTTGAGAATGCAAACCTGCAGCTCTTCCTAAAGAAGGGAGAGTTGATGTGAATATAGGTCAAATGTGGCTGTTCTAATGCAGTAACACAATTGGCTTCGGTTTCTAGGACCTTTATGTCTCAAAGGTGTCAATTAAAAATACCCCCTACCCTAAGTAATTAGTTAGGCACACACTTGCCTTTTACGTTTATACTTTTCATTAACAGTTGATTTGGATCTCTGCAGCTGTACGGGATTGATGGCCCCGGTCCCTTCTTTTAAGGTGCTATAATTGAAATTTCAGAGGTGTCCCTCTTGTTCTCCTTCACGAGCCTGGGTTTTCTGAAACCGCTTTGCAGATCTCTTACATAATGGCAAGCAGAATGGAAAGATTTTTTTTTAATGTCTGCAGGAATTCCATCAAAAAGGGAAAAAAAATTGAGATGTCTTTCTTTGTGGAGGTGGGATTGGGAGTATATAATGTGGTTTGCTTTGTGAATTTTCCTATTGCATTCCTAAATCCAACAAAAAAACCCTAAGTGTATAAAACAGACTAAATTGATAGGGAGAAGAACATGTGCAACCAACCCATTTCACAGTCCCTTCAGCCGTTTTTCTCTGATTTCTGTTTTGGATATTTTGAGGAATTCTTGAGTCTCTCCCCTTATTCTGAAATAGAAATAAATAGAGTAAAGCAGAACAGTGAAAAAGATAAATCTTTGTGTTTTAAGACTAGAAGTTTAATCTTTGAATACGGTTTTTCCTCATTAAAATGTATTTTTAGTTATTTACAGCACAAAGTTGTATAGATTCTTCAAATACATTGAAAATCGAGATGTGGCCAAATCAGTTCTGAAGGAAAGGGGGCTCAAGAAGATCCGACTGGGCATTGAAGGTAGGAGAAGCATTGCTAACTCTTTGGGGGGGGAAAAGGTCTGCTGCACTTACCTGCTTTGCGATCGTCTCTGCAGTTGAAGCCATAAGGGTTGGTATTGTCTTTCCTAGGGATGTTAGATGATAAAACGGCCAGAGGGGGAGTGGTACCCAATAAACAACTGGTCCAGCTAGAAAACCCGATTACAGGCTCATGCCTGGTCTACAAGATGTGTCTAGCTGCTAGACTGTTTGCAATGTAACTTAGGTGGTTTCGACTGACTTACGACTTGCATCTCATGCCATTTGCCCTTTAGTTTTCACGCAAAGTCTTCTCCGTACTTTATTTGAAGTAATGATGCATTTTTACAGCTTTGTATATTCTGTTCTTGGTCTGGTGTCCTTTTCAGGGCTTGGAATGAAAAACTTCGTGTTAAGTTGCAGGTAAACATTTTCTTTCAGGAAATACAAAACTATCAAGTGGATCATTGAAGTGCAAAGAAGTATTAATCTGAAATAAACATCCTGTAATTCAGGAGGCCGATCTGTAAAATCTCAGCTCTGGGTTTGCAAAAGACAAGTACATTAAGTAGCCTTAGATTTTTATCCTGACTGTAACAACTGGGTTTCTTTGCATTTCATCTTCCTTCTGATTGTTGACCCAAATATTTTAAAATCCAGCCTTTATAATTTGCAGGATTTCTATCACTCACTCACCAAGTTGTCATAGTTACATTTGTAATTTACCAACCAAAAGCAAATGCTTTTAACTGCTTGTGATCTCTAAAGTAAGTAAGTTCAGCTGAACAAGGTGTGAGCCTTCAGACTGATGTGCCATTCAACTAAACAAGAACTGGTTTTGTGCGTAACACTGGCTAATACCAGATTATTTGTGCTGGCACTTCTTGCTTTAGACAAAGAACAACTGTGTGACTAAACTTTAATGCTAGTGCCCCATAATAGTATGTAACTTTCTAGTAAATGAAAATTATTGCTTAGGCAGAGGGGAGAGATGACTTGAACACAGCGTAACCGGAACTGAGAACTGGTCTCAAACGATGCATTTTCATCGTTTGGGGGAGCTGGGAGGAACGCGCTGGGATTCCACTTGGGAACTTAAACCACAGATCAGAGTGACGCTGTTCTCCACTTTTGAGATCTCATGTCCTGCTTTCCAGGTCACAGTGTGTTAGAAACAGCGGCTGCTTTTGGCTCGAGGGAAGGAGCAACTAGCTTTGCCTGTGAAGTTTGGAAGAGTTGTCTGGTGGCAATATATTCACTATCAATAGCACTGTAGCCTCTTTCCTTACAGTTTGGTTGGTAGTTAAACTGCTGACTCTGTGTCCCCATGCATAGATAACATTAAGGACCACACGATGGCATCTGTGTCCATTCAGGGTGTTGATGGAGATGATGACTAATCTTCACTATGCTTCCACGTGCTGCCGTTTTGTAAAAGAAAACCCTGAAGTGAACAGTACAGGAAATGTTAACTTCTGCCGTACTCTGTTTCTTAGGTTACCCTACATACAAAGAGAAAGTGAAAAAGCGACCGGGCGGAAGGCCGGAGGTGATTTACAACTATGTCCAAAGACCGTTTATTCGGATGTCATGGGAGAAGGAAGAAGGAAAGAGTCGGCACGTTGACTTTCAGTGTGTGAAAAGCAAATCCATTACAAATTTAGCAGCAGCGGCAGCAGATATACCCCAGGACCAGCTTGTGGTAATGCATCCTACCCCCCAAGTAGACGAGCTGGATATTCTGCCTATTCATCCTCCACCTAACAACAGTGAGGTGGATGCTGAGGGACAAAACCCACCGCTCTGATCTAGACTCTTACTAAAACAAAAGCATGCTACTTTGAAGTGACTCTGTACTCAACTCATACTGCACTGCAAATCCAGTTTTTTCCATTGTGTAACAGTGTTTAGGATATTGCAGTACGGACCTTTGAAAAGACCAAAGGGAGTCCCCGATTGTTTTTGAAAGAGTACAGATCAAACATCCCGGGGTTACAGTTACATACATGTATGTGTTTACCAGTAGGTTTGTGACATTGGTGATTTGTATGCCGGACTGTCCTCACTCTTAAGCCCCTCAGAACCAATGGGACGCTGGTGGCTAGTTGTACATCAGTATTGTTACGCAGGGGTTAGAATGCAGAATTGGAATTGATAGTAGCACTTTACAAATGGTTGATAAATGGAATTTGAAGCCATTTTTTATAAATGTGTTGCACAATACTAACAAAGTGCTTCTATCAAAAGTATTAACTGTAAATAGTTTTGCTCTGAATAGATTGACCCTTTTAGTGTATATGGTTGAGCACAAAACTACTTACTGTTGGGTTTTTGGATTGAGGACATGATTCAATTACCCACGTAACATCTTGTTAAACTCAAAGTTCTTCAGTGAATTTTTTCACTTGTTTGCAGCGTGAGCCATGTTCAAAAATTGTGAACAACGGATAGGGGCTTTATCTTAAATTTTGCCTTACCTTAATCTGTTCACAAATATTTATTTAATACATTTTTCATAAGTGTCACAAAATAGGAAAATGCAAATGGTTCATTCTTCATTTATTAATGATTGTAAACAAGTTTTCATGCAAATAAAGTTTCCATTATTTTAATGGGTTTCAATTATCTGTGAATGAGATTAAGTATATGGATGAGTTTTGAAAGTAGTTGCTTTTCTTTCCTCAGGGAAGGATGGTTAATAAGTGAAAACCAACTGTTTCTTAAAGAGAAATCTGGTAGCGTCAGACTATCTTAACCTACCTTACTGTTGTTTTTTTCTTGGTATAAACTTGAATCTAGGAGCTTCTCTCAAAATGTATTGTAGTGACAAAATCTTGAAGTGTATGTAAGGTATTGTTTTTCCTCCCTTTTCCCCCAAGGCTAAAGAAATGGTAAATAGGCAACTGCTTCTAGCATGCACCTTCAGCAGGGTTTTATCAAATTTATTTATCAAAGTAAATGCTCCATCTTAGAACAAGGGAAACATTTATTTTAAAAATTTTTAACTGTCTAATACATTACACTTTAACAATATTTATAGTAAAGGATTCTTACAAGAAAGAATAAACAGCTTTATGGTACAATTAGTATAAGAAATATCCACATGGGGACTGTTTTGCAGTGTAAAAACACACCATACATCTGAAATGGTCATTTGCATATAAAAGCTACCACTGATGCCAGTGAGTTGCACAGTGATTTAAAAAAAATTTCAAACAACAGAATCCAAAATATACAAGTATCGCAAGCTATACACAGCTAACCAAATCAACACAGAACACTGTAGCAGGTTATTCCACTTTGTCTGAAGTTACACATGGTAGGATGAGTTGCATTCTGATACAGCTTTTATGAAATTCAGACATAAAAGCTTCTCAGTCCAAAAAGTTTCACAGACTGTAGAACTCCACCAATAAATGCACTTCGATATTTGGATGTTGAAGCCAGGTGCATCATTTACAAGGGCCATGGCAAATCACTGAAGTCTACGGGGCCACCAAGACCTGCATCTGCTTCAAGAAGGCTCATTATTACTGCCATTGCTGCTTCGTCGTTGCTAGGGCTGCTTGATCCTTGATCATTGTCAATCATATCAATGCCTATATGAGAGTTCTCCCCTGTAAGCATAAATACAGTAAGTTGTCAGAAGTTCAGTTTTATTTTGTCCACTTTCCTTGCTACGGGCACAGCCATATGACTTGAAGTAGAATAGCTGAACAGGCTGAACTATTTTGGGAGTACTAGTCTGTCTGATACCCAGGTTGCCACGGTCTCAGGGATACTGCTGACGACACCTGGGTGTCGGAGTACAAAGTACTCAGAGTACTCAGCAGTGACCAGTATGCCTAATAAGGACGACCTTATGTGCTGTACTTCAAAAATAAGTCCAGATCAACATCTAGGAGTCAGCCTAGCCTCCCCTCTTGTCTTCAGTTGTTTAAAAGCATTCACAGAAAGCAGGTGGGGAGTTCAGCTAACTCACACTGCAAGAGAAGAGAGGCTTCCAAGTACCATCTAAAAAAAATTACAATATAAAGTAAGCTAGCAAAACAGACTGCCAGGCTAGTCTTGTAGCCACCCTTTTAGGCAAACAGAGTGGTAGGTTATGGGCTTTATGCCTCAGCTACAGGCTGCAGGGGCTGAAAGCAAATTATTGCTAAAAACAATCATCTTGTTACAGTTGCCTATATGCGTTTAGATGGGATTGAGGCATGTTAGTGTATGACTTCACTTACCAAGAATAGAGGAGTTGTCAGAATACGGGTAGCCAGAGTTATCTTGGATTTGCCCAGACAGTAACCCAGCTGAAGAAATGTCTGGAGTGCCACCATTCAAGATCTTGAAAGAAAAAATAGAAGCCATAAACCAGCATGAAATGTTGCATTAAGTCTTAAATTGTCTTATATTGCAATTGTTAATATAGGGAAGATGGGCTTCCTGCAGGGGGAGAAAAAACCCCAACACCTAAAGGCTAGCTAATCAGACTAGTTGTAAACTAGGAACTACTTCCTCTGTATTATGCCCATCAAGCAGATGTCAGATGGATAGCGTACCATTACCAGAAAGGAAGAGATCAAGTCAGTGCTACATGCTAAACTTCTGAATGTAACTTCTGAAAAACTACTAGAAAAAGTCCTCAGGGGATTCCTGTGGGTCATCTTTTTAAGTATTCCATCTGCAAGTGATAGTAATTACAGCTAAGTACAAAATGCTTTTGAATTTACACATACAGTATACGTAGAGTACTATCAACTAAGATCCTTCATTTTAGGAGTATAATCCTCCCAGGTAGAGACGGACTGCATGAGCTGAGCATTGCTCCTGGATCATAAGTCTAACCATTTTTTGGTACAGAGCAGCACAGCGGCACTGTGTACACCAGAGCTCACCAGAAACAAAAGAACCTTCTCCAGGATTCTTAAATAGCTAAACTTGAACCATAGTTTTGAACTGCTCAGCTGTGCGTACACTAGAAGGTAAGTACTTGTGAGCTCCTTTCTGAAGGCAGCATCAGCTGGAGCGTGTGTGGTTCCGGCAAAAACAGTCTTCTAACTAAGGAGAAATATTAAGGGGGTATCCTATTAGAAATACACAACTCTCCATGTGTATTTTCCTTTATTCTGTTACAGTAGCCCTTACTACGTGTAGGTGTTGAATTATTGTAGGGCAGAAGGAGCAATAAGATCTATTCCTGGAATTACAACTCGGGTTGTTCCAACTTCAACTTTTATTTCAAGAGCAAAGTAAGCCAGGAATAGACAAATATTTACTTTCAGCTATATGCTCCAATATAACAAGCAATTCTCATGTATAGTCATCATCATTTCTCAGGAAAAAAAAGTAAGTCTGAGGCAGTGTTTGAATGCATAGAATAAGGATTTGGAGAAGTGCTCTTCTTGCCTTGAATCTAACCCCCATAAGCAACAATTTACTACGCGACGTAAATGCAGCCAGTAGAAGTGTTCAGGTAGTTAAGTGTTGGTAATGGTATGTGAGTGCTACTCAAGCAATCTTAGAACAAGACATGGTACATGGTATTGATTTAAAAATAAACTGTCAGTGCACAGTAAAGCATCTAATTGTCATATTTTGTGCTACAGCAGTACAGTAAAACTGCTGTGATTCATTTAAGCACAGTCAGTGCTCAAACGATAGCAATTCCAGTGTTCACCGGTACGTGGTGGTACAGAGTTTTTGGAGGATCAAGAGATACAAGGAGAGCTGTTTCTTGCAGCTCTGTTAAAAAAAAAAAGTGAAAATCTAAAGAACAGGTGGATTTCAGTGTTTAGGGACTACGTAAAGGGATTTTGGCCACCAGAATACTTTGACTTGCTGTCAGACTTTTTCAGCCAAGCAGCCAGGAGGAGTTCAACACCACATGTAATTTTATAAGCATGCCCTCATGTTGCTTGCCACTACTGCTACAAGACTGTTTGTAAAGCTTGTTCTTACCTTCTTGCCTCCTGGGGAGGATGTGTCAGGTGGTGGTGTGCTGGTAATGTTCAGTGGACTTGAACCACAGCTGGAAGGTGATGATCCTCTTATCCTAAAATATGGATAAAACAGGGAATGAATTTACCAGCAACTTGGAGACTCAGGTGCGAGAGGCCTGGAGTCTCAAATGCCGACTTTAGTATCAGGTGGCACGAGGTGTTAATTTTTGTAATTTCCTCACTTTTTCAGTGTTACTGAAATCAGCAGTAGCAACATTTTTATTTGCAGCTAGATAAATAGTTGTGTGTAAATTGTCCAGCTTGCTCACTCTGCAAGCTTCACCTCCTCCCCCTCTTTATTTGTTCCTGTACAGCCTTCACAGAGTCAGAAGGAAAAGGTCCTGGGTACTGAGGAAAGCCTCATTTTTTGTATTTTACTTCAATTTAGACCAGCTAAGAATTCGAGCTGCCTCAGCAACAGTAACCTAGACTCCTTAAGTGAGCTACTGGTACAGAAGTACACTGGACATTTGATATAGTTAATATTTTTTTAAACTGTCCGAAGCGGCATTTTTCACTTCAGTTTTCCATAGCTTGATCAAATATCATTTTTTTCTTAGTGAATAACGTATTAACCGTGAACCAACAAATCTCTAAAGGAAGGAGGGGTAGTTACAGAGAAAAGCAATGGAAATGGGAATCTTATCCTTGGCAGAGTTCCCCTGGGAAAGCTGAACAGAAGGCAGCTTTGGAAAATAGTAACAGCTGCTGAAAAAGGACTGGAACTAACCCAGGGTCTTGAAATGAAATGATAACATGGGTGGTAAGCTATACTACTACACTCACTGAGGCTAATTAAGTGTTTTACAGCTACCAAAAGGGATTGTTAAGTATTGGTTCAGCCTTGGTGTGGCTTCCCCCCCCCTTCCTTCTTCCTATTCTTACAGACAGGAAAGAAGCCTTGTGTGATAGGTCTGCTGTTCCCTTAAACAGCGATGTAAGTTGTCTCTGGCTTGCAGCAGAAACAAAACTATGGGAAATGGACTGTTTTCCTGAATTGCAGCTCAGTATGGTTAAATTACTGCCACTAAACATCTGCTGGATGAGGCCACTTTTATGGGAAGGGGAACAATTCCTAAGAGGAAATTCATGAAGAACAGGGATTGTTAGCCAGTAGAAATTAAGTGATACCTACTGAAAGTAGCTGCTCACACAGGTGAGAGAGATGAGATGGCTGTTCTGAGGAACAGCTCTGTATTACTGAAGTCCCTTACCAAAGCGTGCTCCAAGACTTCTCGTTTAAACCAGAGACCTACATCTCAACTTTTAGACAGCCTGCCCCTGGGAAGGCAGAGCTACCTTAATTGTTGTGCCCTTGCTCAAAGAGCTGTGGGAGAACTGCACAAGCTGAACTTACATATCTAACAACTCTAAAAGCATCTGAGCAAAGTGGATCACATGAAAACAAACACTGCTTTTTTGGCACATAGTCAATAGCTTTGGCATTTGGGGGTTGTGCCACTTACACCCTTAAGTCATTAGAAAAAAGAATATTCTGGAAAGGAATTTGTTTCTAGTGAGCTGTTCTTTTTAACTACTGCTTCTGGTAAACAGAGAATTATCACCGTTACCAAAAAAGTTCCTATATTAGTCTTTTACAGTAGAAAGCTGGAAGGCTGTAACTTTTTCATTCTTTCACTATGGGCTTTGACTGCCTCAGGTATTCCGAATAGATATCTGTAGCTGTCTACTTATAAAATGCAATTGTATCATTCTGTATTCAGCTTGAAGAAAGACTTCCTTAATTTCCTCTTAAAGAACAATACTGGTTTTCCTCTAACTTCATACCATTTTCTCTCACCTGTGAATCTCCATGATTTCTTCAGCAATCATCCTCCCTATTTTACCTGCCCCAGCTCTTGTTCCACCTGGAATTCCAGGCACAGTAGGATGGGTCCTTTTTGGGCCACCTGAAATGAGCAGGTATCTTAAGGTCAGATAAAAGCTTGCAAACCTTTCCCAAAAAGCATTTGTATTTAGGCATGTCTTGACCAGCTGCAGGACCTTCTGAACTGTGTTTATTTACAATTCCACCAACTGGCAAGTACCTTCAAATGTATGGAAAGCTCTGACTTGCACTGAGCTATGCTATGTCTCTTAGACATCCCTCTGCACCAGCAGGTACACATCATAACCTGACTCTTATCAGAATTTGGCTGTTTCAAGCATCTGGTAGTACCTCTCGTCCAGAGTTGGTAAAGAATAGCTTGTCAGACCTGCTTTATTCTGTGCCTGAATAGGCTCTTCTCCAAATACGTTTGTTCTTTGCTTTGTGTGAAGAACTTGCCAGTGCTTATTCCATTCAATACGGGATAAGCCCAAGTTACCTGATGAACATAAATAAACCCTCTGTAGGTAATTGCAAGTATCTAAGAATGGAGGAAAAAGTGAGGTCTGCACAGTTGGAAGCTCGCCGTTACTTTGACATGATTTGACACTTGCGCAACACTTGAGAGGTAGTCAGGAAGGAGCCCGATATACTCCAAGGTATACTCTAAGGCACAGCGAAGAAAAGATCATATACTGAAATGGCAAGAAAGCCCTTAGCATTGCTTATGCATAATGGATAACTGCCTTCTTTCAGACACTCATACTTAACAATAGCAGCCCTCAGTTTCTATGGCTCAGACCCATCAGGAGGTGAGAAGGTTCACCTAAAAAGGTCATCAAATCCTTAGCAGAGCCAGAACCCCTTGAAATTAAACTTCACTAAAGTAACTTTCTTTTCTGGGGACAAGAACTGTCAAGTATGACGATATTATACGTCTGTTTTCTTTTCAAAGGTTGTGTTGTGGCAAGAATAAGCTTATCCTATTATACAACAGTTTGTTCTGTATTTTTTTCCATTCTCAGAAGGCCCAGACACCATGTTACTGCTGTTACTCTACCTTCAATTACTAACCATTGTGCCTACATGGCAGCTTCTCTTCCTACCACTGTGTCCTGGTGACAGTGTCAGCTGTCCCATGCTTTGCCACCCTTCCTCCTCCATAGTTTCACTTACTGAACCTGATTTTTCAGAACAGAGGTAACTGAAAAGCCCAGCTTTGCTAGAGTCTTGCACTGTTCTCCTAAGCGTATTGTCTACAACTTACAAAGTAATTCCAGACATGCGCAATATCCTTGCTCTACAGCTGTAAAAGCATAGCTGCTAAAAGTAGTATCTAGTAAATAGGGTCTCTAAAAGGAATGGTTCCCAACTCTTTGGAAAGAATCTCAGTATTATCACCATCTTTCTTTTCCTGTCTTTCATCCATGGGCTGTCACTGCATCTTTCTACTCTACCTCACTTCCACCCTGCTCCAGTAACACTTTGTTATTAAATCAAGCTCTGCTCCGCATTATGCTGCATACCACCCGTTATAAAAGATGGTTCAGTGATCAGCAGCATTCACAACAAGCCCATGGTGATTACCAGAGATCACTCTTCGTGTCTTGACAAAAAGCCAGTCAAATCAAGGGCAGATGAGGGGCAATAAGCCAAAGAGCCAAACTATATTTATGATCCATTCACCCCCTGAGTAACCATCTGCACTGACCACAGAATGTGAATTCACTCTGGAACGATGTACAAACAGCGCCATGCATGAAGGCAAACATTTCTCCTCTATGTCACTCCTCCAACACTGTTTATACTTGTTTCTTTCAACTGGCTCATTCACTTCTCTTTGATCAGCTTATATCCAAAGTTGGTATTTAAGTTCAATAGGGCAAGAACTGCATTAGTACTTTTTTGCCCTAAAACTTATTTTTCTTTAGGATAACAACAAATTCTCAATGCAAGAGCGCAGTAAATTTGTGTATGCAAGATTAGCTGCTAACAAGGCATGACTGCCAATAATTTCCTCACAGTACAGCAGTTACCTTCTCCAGCCTGAAGCACACTGTCCATGCTGTGTGGAGAAGCCGCAAGCTGTGGAAAGGCTGCGTCTCCACTATCAAGTACGTTGGTGCTGTGGATTTCAAGAATTAGAAGAATCAGTGATAGAAAACCCTGCGAAACAGTCACTCTGCCAGTGTGTCAGAATGGAATGCTTCAGGGTTTAAGTAGTTTGTGAGTCACTATCACCTCTGTGAAAGAAGCACTGTGGCTGACACAAAAGCTGGATAAACAACAGAAATAAAATGCCATGTTACAAGTCAAAGTGTGCAATGCAGAACCCAAACAGCTTCTCTCATAAGAGAATTTCTTTACAGCAGTTACTCTACTGTGAAGTCACTGCACCTGTACAGAACTCTCAAGGAAAAAGAAAAGGAGGGGGAAAGTTCCTACATAAGCAAAGAAATGCGTCTCCTGTAAGTCCCTACAAAGACTGGAACACCACGTTTTCCCAAAGAAAGAAAATATTTCTATTTCTGCAGGCTTTAATAATTGCAGTAGTTTAATATCTGTTTATCAAACTAATTCCCCTCTCCCCAGGTATGCAGTTCTGGATGTTATCTGGAGAAGACACCTATTGTCATACAGAAGACGTGCACATATTTAGGTCAAATCTCATCTGAAAGCAGGGCAAAGCAATCAGCATTTACATGCGTCTGCTAAGGGAAAAAATACTTACGAAACGACTGTATTTGTTGAGACAATGTATTCTACTTCTTTGGTCCAAGGGTTCATGAAACTGAACCAGCGACTCCGCAATGTAATAAAAGAGCCATCTTTTATTTTAAACTTGTAGCAGTTAGTTGTAATTTTTTCTCTTGTCTGCAAAACTAAAGACAGACAGAAAGCAAGTAACCTTGTGTCAAACAGGCACCATGCCTACATAAGCAGAGCCTTTATCAGGGAAAACTCAGTTAATTCCTCCCTTCACCCCTGAAGAACAATGCTATTTCTGCAGCCATCCCCCCTCACCCAACCTGAACCTCAAATATTCACTAAAAATCCATGGAAGTCTAAGATAATCATAGTTTGGCACACACAGCACAATATTTGGAGAGATCCAAATATTTTTAAGTTTGTTTGGTTTTCTTAATACACAATTGTTCCCAATATTTTTTAAAAAGTTCTTTACTGAATTATTAGTAATCGTACCTTGTCTATGACATTCTGCAAGATGTCCTATATCATCTTGATGAAAATATTCATAACACGAAGTACCTAGAAGTTCCTGGGGTAAGTATGCCAGAATGGCTGTTGCCCTTGGGGAAGGGAGGTAGAGGAAAATAAGAGGAAAAAAAATCCGTTTCAAGTTGAAGTACTAGTGACAGGTTACTAAAACTCACACTGAAGTTGGGTAAGGCTCAAGTAATGCGGAAAGGTATTTTCAGCTTAGAAGGTCAAAAAATTCATTAAGAATACTCTTTTTAATTATCAGGTAATTTAAAAAGTACATAACACCAACAGCCCTCAGATATTACATTTGACCTATCACCACTGGGGGGGATGTAAGACTTCCTAAACAGCTTTGGAGGTGTATTATAATTTTGAGAATTTAAACCCAAAGAAAGCTGCCTTGTAGCAGCCACAAGATAACACAAAGCTTTCTGCATAAAATGTCATTGAAATATAGACATCAAAGGTTTGAAGAACTGCTGTGTTCCTTTGTGTACCCACAGTGCTGCTGCTGCACAGAGGCCAAATTGTAGCATAACAAATGTTTCAGGAGCATTTTCTCTGCTCTAGTCACAAGCCTTAAGAGTGGGACAAAAAAACCACCCCAAACCCTGCACCCACACCCATAAAAAAGAAAGGTTAACAAATAGAACTGTCCTGAATAAGCACTGAGAGACCTACTATGTGTCTCTGTTTTAAATCGGACAGGAGCATGAAGCAAATAAACTAACTTTTTGATTCATCAGAACCAGCCACAAAGTCAATTCATTTTCTTCCTCATCAGAAAACTTTGGAACGAAATACACCTGTGATCTGCAACATGGGAAAGACATGGATTCTTGATCTGACTCTCAGGTAGTCTTCAAGGAGCTGTTGGCAAGGATAGAGGACACCTCAAGAAACTAGGAAAAAAAGACTGTGCATCAACTTGGTAACCCAAGCTATAAACTAAGTTCAAGAGGAAAAGGCAAAGCGACACTGCAGGTAAGTGACAACGAGCTATACAACAGCCTAACACAAGGTGAAAGGGTCATTCTTGACAAGGAAGAAGCTATAGTGGGCCAGTATGCTAAACACCCTAGAGATCTGTATGTTAAAACATGACAAGAATTATTTCTTGAGGTGTTAATGATTTAGAAGCTGTAACAACTTTATTAGGATAACTTGTGCTGGTTTTGGCTGGGATAGAGTTAATTTTCTTCACAGTAGCCAGCATGGGGCTGTGTTTTGGATTTGTGCTGGAAACAGTGTTGATAACACAGGGATGTTTTCGTTACTGCTGAGCAGTGCTTACACAGAGTCAAGGCCTTTTCTGCCTCTCACACCACCCCACCAGCGAGCAGGCTGGGGGTGCACAAGAAGGTGGGA